TAGCTGAGTCACTTTAAGACCTGCAGACCATCGACAGTAATACGTTTTCACTGGTATTTCAATTGGCAGCTTTTTCGTCAAGTTTTGCGACCTCTCAAACATTGAATTTATTATTGAGGGGAAATATCAGTGTAATATAAAATGTCACAAATGGGTATCCAGTTAATTATTAATATATCGGCTTTTACCATAATGATAAACCTCACCACTGATACATGTATCAAAGTTCATAATAAGTCATTATACAAACTAGGTGACAGATAAAAGGGTAAAGCAACATCTACAGATAACTAACCGGCTTAAATGTCTGCCACGCCTACCAAATCAGCTACGAGGTGAAGATAAGCTTTACCAGGCGTGACAGGCATTTATGCCGGCCAAGTTGACAGCAATTTAGTGAGAAAGAGAAAGATCGATCCAAATATCTGTGGGAATGGCCCCTTATTATGGCCATCATATCACGTGGTAAGAAAGGTAAGGTAAAAAAAAAACACCCTCTGTAATAATCCTTTAAGGACAATTTCATAAGAGTTTATTACAAACAAAAAAGACTTACTTCGAAAGCTGGAACAGATTCATTAACAGTGGGGAAAATTGTTGTTAACCCCAAATGAACCTTCAATTGAGCTAAATTTCCCTAGATAATAAAAGCAAATAATATCGTTTGTGAAAATAATACTTGGTTTATATTTGTGTAACATTAAAGCAATATGTATTGCCACTTTTAAGTTTTAAACTTTTAATTTTTAATCAATGGTACAATTATACAGTATACAGAGACAAATCTGTATGGCAGGAATAAGGTTACGTTATTCCACATTAGCATTGATTCTTGCCACACACACACACACACACATGCACACATATATAGCAATGTGCATCTATAAGGAATTTTATTAATCTTTTACCTCCTAGTACATGTATTTATATTATATAAGTGAGATGGGTCTATGAGTAGGGTCTATACATTTTCTTGCAGTGAACTTATTTCTTTTAATTGTTTTTACACAAAAATAGGCTATATAAATAGTGCAGTTTTCTTGCTTGAAATGCCACCAAAATTTACTATTTTGCTTAAATGTTTCAAAATGGTCTTGGTGGAGGACCCCTTAATCCCCATCCGCTGGGGGGGGGGGGGGGGAGTGGCGACCTTCCGCCGACGGCAGAAATTCGGTCCAGGCCGACATTCCGCCCAGGTACTTTTCGAGATGGCTGGATCGTCCAGCAACTAATTCACCTAATAGGCAAACACTGCCAGTAAAATTAATTCATTTTGGTTAAAACAAACAGTTGTTATCCCGTTAACAGTTGTAGGCTGAGCGATTCAGTTAAAATGCACTGTTGATGGACTACGCAAACTGTGGAAAAATTACCCAAGGAAAAAAGTATAATACAAAATGTCGAAATTTGTATCCAGTTAATGATTATATATAAGTTTTACCTCAGCGGTGATATTTATAGCTGACGCATGTATCAAAGTACACAATGAGTCAGTATACCAACTACTAAGTAAGTAAGAGATAAGACAGGCGGTTTTAAAAGGTAAGAAAAAAACCCGCACAGACCAGATAAGGTTAAAGAATTTAGCTAATCACTAACCCTACTAGTCCACTGTTCAATCTCGTTTCTGGACACAAGCAGTGCTTTTGGTAAGTTAATTACATCTATATTGTTTAAAAATAAATTAGAAAATTTTGATCAGCACCGTGAAGTAACCTGGTTGTATTATATCAGATTCTATGAAAATACTATTATATGATAGGTTAATAAGTCTCTTTATTAGTATCAGATTATTTCGACATACATGTAAGACAGGTCCTCTAGATATAGTGCTTGTAATCCGTTTTTTTTTTTAATTGATGGTAACGGGCCTATGTCAAGCATGTGCAACATGTGTATGTCAGCATCTTTAAGTACTCGCTAGATTCTATTTCCTGCCTGAATAGCCATCGCAATTTTAATTTTTGTTGAACCCGACGTCAAATCGGAAAATTCATGTTTTGGAATGTGTTGAGTTATTATTAGTATTAATTTAGTAGTTAATGCCCACGAGACTTTAGTACAGCAGCTACAGTACAACAGCTGCATGCAGTAGGCTTACATTTTTGTTGTACTGTGTTTTGGTGATTTTTTATTGTCATCGTCAACGTTGTGTTAACCACCCCACTATTTATTATTATGAGCAAGGTTACTCGAAACATAATAAAAATTAACGAATCGATTGCACTTATTGCGCTAGGAGTGCGGCGCAGCTACCGCAATCAAAGAACACCCGTATATCTGGTGTACGTGACGTTATGCACATCGCGGTAGTTTTACATGTAGCACAGACCATAATTATTTGATATGCGTTAAGGCGAGATAATAATAGAGAGTTTTGGCAAGGCCTTCCGTATGACGTGTAACGTATAGTTCAATACGTAATACGTTTTACGTACGCGAGAAAGCTAGCAGTGGTTTTGGCAGGTCTCACTCCGTTTTTTCATATCATTTTTATTTATATTATATATAAATATTATAAAATTTGGATTCTTTTTAGATAGATGAATAATTAAGATGTTGAATGGAATGTGTTATTTACGTCAATTGATACCGCAGATCCCGTTGTTTATGAAAAAAAAATCAACTTAAATTGAATTTGATACTACTACGGACGACTGATTGACTGGCTGTTTTTCCAGCTGTTTTCACAGAGTATTTCTACCGACAGCGTCTAAAAGTGATTCAGTGGAATCTTAACACCCTATATATTCCTTTGCAGTGTGTTAAACTTGAAAGAAATAAGCGTAAATCTATTAAATTCGATACGTTTCTTACCTACGTGTAATCACCGTTTCATACGTAGTGCCGTATGACTTATGACTTGTCCTTGAGAAAAACTACGCACAAAGTGATGACGTCGCACGTTATACGTCGTACGGAAGGCCTTGCCAAAACTCTCTAATAATGGATCAAATCCAATAAAATAACTTATGAAATTCCCAGTAAAATTCAAATTTGCTTAAAATGGACGACAATGTGTTCACACCATTCTGTCACCGTCCTAATGACCTCCAGTGTCCCGGCCTGGATGACACCTTGCCTAACGCCACGTGACTTATGATGCTACCCAGTTAAATAACAAAATCTTCATTTATTCATTGTCAAGGAAGGTCGACATGGCGACCACGTGTAACCTGAATCCTTTTAATTCAATTTTCTTCTGATGTATGAACTTCAATGTCTAACTTTCTTAAATTAGCAAGAATCTGTGCTTACACACTGTAAAAACAGTGTTTAGCATTTCAATACACACAAGACACGTTAAGCACCTATATGCATTTAGAAATATGTGTAAAAGTTAAGCACGTATAGCTTTTCAAGCGTTTAACAGAAGAAAAAGCAAGACACGTTGGCAGTGTTACACGTTTAGCTACCGCGTGAGGCTGCTAAACATAAGGAGCTGCTATAGGTGTGGAACTGTAAAGGTAGATCGGTCGGTACATGTTCTAACGTTCGAATTTTTAAAAATATATATTTTTTGGTTTGAAGAGACACCCAAGTACATTAAAAATTTGCACAAAAATTTGGGGGTCACCGACCAAATAAGAGAACTACGCCCTAATATGTTACACCCTGCATATCGCACTAGTCCCCATTCAAACCAATGGAAAAATTGGTGTTTTTTCACTAAAGCATTATTTTTTATGATTTTTTAACGTTCGAATTTTTAATTTTAATTTTTTTTTATGTAAAGAGGCATCCAAGTACATTTAAATTTTGCAAAAAATAAAAATAAAAAATAAAAAATTGGGGTCACCGACCAAATAAGAGAACTACGCCAAGTTGAAGTGCATNAAAAAAAAAAAAAAAAAAAATGGGGGTCACCGACCAGATAGGAGAACTACGCTTTAACGTGTTACACCCTGCATATCGCACTAGTCCCCATTCAAATCAATGGAGAAATTGGTGTTTTTTCACTAAAGCATTATTTTTATGATTTTTTAACGTTCGAATTTTTTATTTTTAATTTTTTTATGTAAAGAGGCATCTAAGGACATTTAAATTTTGCAAAAAAAAAAAAAAAAAAAAATTTGGGTTCACCGACCAAATAAGAGAACTACGCCAAGTTGAAGTGCATTTCACCCTGCGTGACGCACTAGTCCCCCTTCAAATTGATGGGAAAATGGGCGTTTATTCACTAAAAACTTATATTTTATGATTTTCCAACGTTTGAATTTTTATTTTTGGTTTGTGTGGAGAGACATCCAAGTACATTTAAAGCTTTCATTATGTTTAACAGTTGAAGTGAGTATACTAGCTATTTTCAGATTTGTCATACTGATGCGAAGGTGTAAGTCATTAACTTCACAACAGATTTATTGAAGAGGGAAATATGTCATGCATGTGAAAATAGTTTATTGCCGTTCTTATTTATTTATGTAGTGGATATAATATGAATGTGACCTTTTTGCCCCCCCCCCCCCCCCCCTTAAAAATGGAAATCAGCACACATAAAAATCTCATTAATGAGATGTGCCAATATTCGTGCGATTCCAGCCGAATCCCACGAATATTCGTAACACTATCGCACCTGTATCGTAACTGAACCGTAGAGGGTGTCAAATTAGACCAGAAAATTGGCAAAATCTCACGGATCTTCAAGAATCCTGAAAATTGTCAATTCCTGGCGATTCGTGGGATCCGTGGTCTGTGTGAAATAGGGGCATTACCAAACGGCAGCGTTTAGTGCCATTTTTGGAACCTCACGCCAAAGGGTAGGGGGGGGGGGTCAGCTTCGCATCCGCCCCACCCATCAACTAATCCTGGATCCGCCCCTGGATGAAATATAGCAAGGGAGCATTACCCATCCAATTCATTTAACGCACAAACTCTAGTGTAAAACTGTAAAACCCAGGTTTCATGCGCAAGATGAAAAAATAATGCCACATATATCATAAAGCAATCCTTTTCTGGTGAAATCTTCTTACAGAGCCGTCTTTCTACTACTCCATCGGACCATGGTTCTCATGCGTGCTGTGTATCGTGGTGATATTGGCGTGGTGAAGCGACTGCTGCGTGATGGGAGATATGATGTAAACGGAAAGTACACGTATGTGGTACGTACTGTTTCTGTATTTCACTACATTGTAGATTATGTCTATCGATCATAAGGATGCATTCATAAATACATCTTTGCTATAACAACATATTCAAGTTCTATAAATAACTATATGTTCTACCTCTAGACTTCATTGTCGCTTCTTTTCACAAGACACGCAATAGATCATTTTTTTTATAATGGGGCCTGGCTTCCTGGCTCAAATGTGAAATAGGTTGGAGACCATAGATTTGATTTTAGGGTGAAGATTTTTCACAGTTTTCCATAGTAGTGGCTTCACATAGAAATCGCACAATTTTCTGTAGTCTCTAGGTGTTCCTTATTATTATTATTATTATTATTATTATTATTATTATTATTATTTGATAGCATTTCCATCAAATGTACTTTGCCGGTGTCCTAGTTTCCTATAGGAAATCTGATATGCGTCGAGGCAGTGTGATCATCAAGAATTCCATTTTGCTGTCTTTACATGTATCATTAATTTGTTCTTTGCAATCCAAGCCCTGCGGTTAGAAATACTGCTTTTCATTTCCATTAAAGAAATTTCCCGATTCTTGATGTAACCGGGAGTATACAGCTGAGTATCGTCAACGTATATGACATGTACTAGTAGGATCTTGTGAGAGGGAGTCCTCCATGATAGAGTCTGCTATGATAAGCCATTCATTTGTACATGTAAGACGTGGACCTACTCATGTCAATTTAACCCTAGCTATCATAGAGGGCGGACTTTCTGTTTCACGGACACTCAGTTTCGTTTCACTGGCACAATGTATTATTAAGATTAGCTGTAGCATTTTCATATAAGTATGCAATGATGACTGTGTTGTCATTGTTTTTTAAACCCAGTATTGTATTCCTTCGTGTAAAAAAGATATGCCATTCTGTGCGGTGGTTTTTGCTCGATCATTCCCAGCAAGGTCATATTTTTTACAATTGATTACATTTTCTTCTTCTGTTTTCCTTTTTTATTGCTTCATTTTGTGTTTTATTATTTCCTTCAAGGCCTCGGTGACAACCGGGCGCACGGGTTTCAGGGTGGGACCTTCTCTGCGAGTTGTGGGTGCAGTGGAGGGCGTTGAAAGCGGGTGACGCACTCCCGCACTGCTTTTGATTAAGCTACTCTTACAACCGGTCGTGCTCGCTTCTACGAGCGGTTTGCGTGCAAAAAAATTGGCCAAGTATTAAGATACACGCACGTGGAACGTACTTTTTTTGGTGGACGTGAACACGACGCTAAGCACGCAGCCAGAAAACTGGCCGACCAGATTTTCGCTACGACCTGTCTGCGACAATTAGAACGACTGGAACACGCTCGTAGGACGCAAGGCAAAAGTACTGAGCAGAGTGCGCTAGGCGTGCGTGTAACGCATGAAAGGCATGCAGAAATTCCGGGGTATTTTACCACGAAGACAATGTACTAACCACGCAAAAGACTGGTACGTTCAACTTGCTTTCAATGTACGTGTTAACAAAAAAGGGGAGGGGGTGAGAGCACTTCCTTTGTGCGTTTATCTTACTTCCTAGGTGTGTTTTGAGTACTTCTACCGTATATGTGAAGTGCGTCACACTAAGACGACGCACTTGACCAGCAAGATATAAGTGCGTCACAAGTACTTGCTTAAAGGTGCATCGTGCGCCTATATCACAGCTGATGTAGTCTGCTCTCAGTTTGGAAGTGCCATTTTGAAAGCCAAAACAGTGAATGATAGGAGACTCGGTGCTCCCTTTCATATTAATTTGATTATCCGTGTGTTCCACCAATTTGACGCACTAGTGTCGTTCTTAACACTTCCGTGCTCATTACGTTTCTCTTACGTTTCTCTAACTTCGTAAGTACGATTTCTGAAAACGCACGCTTCACTTGCAATACACGCACGATTATCTCACTCACTGTGTGCGACACAAGTACAGATCGTACGTGATCCTTACTTCTTCCTACTTCCAAAAAAGGCGTACAGATCTCTTGCGGGCCCCACGTTTAGAGCACGACACACCTAATCATAAAGTACTTACTACTTACGTCCGCTGCTATTAAATTTTCATCCTGCGACAACGCCACGCCTGACAAGAACTCCGAGAACGCACGATCTCTAAGCACGCACGACGGGTTGTAAGAGAGACTTTAAGTTTGGAAAGTGGGAGGGCGTGCGCCGTACTTAACACGCTGGTGGCACTTGCGTCTTCATTGCTTGCGACGTGCGTCTTAAAGTTTTTCTTCACACGGTAATCCTCCAGTCTCATTTGCGTACATCTTGCAAACTTCTTGCCAAAGGAGCAGATTATCCTTAATTTTTTTTTTATTTAGCCTATATGCAAACGAACCTTGTGGTCAAAGCGCACCCCTCCTTTTGACTGTTACAGAGTATTCGTGGTAGAATTCGTGGTATTTATGTCCTAAATACTAACGAACTATACATGTACCTACAAGTTATATCACCCTGTGCGGAACCTTGGTAGGCTACATGTATACCACTTTTCTTATTAGTAGCTATGGTCTGTTGGTAATTACGCCCAAACAAATAATGAAAATGATGGTCAGAGAGTATTAATAACAGATGATGACCATAAGCTGACCACAGATGATGGAGTCGGAGTAATACTTAATTTTGCAAAGATGACTAAAATAGTAAGATCATATGATAATAATTCAGTAAACAAACCTAAGTATGATATGATATTGTTTTGTTTTCACCAGTGGGGATTGACTCCTCTGCACCTAGCAGCACTGAGAGGTAATACAGATATGGTGAAACTACTCCTGGACAGCGGGGCTAAAGTTAATGCCGAGGACTCGGTAAGACGCATGCGTGTGACTTATATGCCCATTTCCCTTCGTGCGATATTTATGTATATTTATACATGATATGGGAGTTTCAAATTCTGTAGTTTAGTGCTACAGATAACCCAACGAGTATATTTTCCATGAAAACCGAATATTCCACTGTTTTGTGTATGTATGGTATATTGTTTTAGCGAGTTGGGTAATACGGGTATGTATTTTTCCTTTCTTTGACTATGGTGTATTCAAACCAGGGACAGATATTTAACTTTATTTTCATTTCATCGTTTTTGAAGTCAGTTGCCAGTCAGAACATTTCGTCTATATATATTTTTTTTATTTATTTAGGATACTAGTACTTGAGACACATATTGCAATACATGCACAACATGCATAGGCCACACACTCGGTATTTTGTTAAACAGTATTATTTAAATTAACATAATTATTTTTTTTTTCAATCTCTTTTTTTTATTTATGACATGCATTCAGAACATTTTACCTCTCTGATGTTTTTTGTTTTTTGTTTTTTTTTTTTTTTTTTTTTTTTTTTTTTTTTTT